TGTTTGTTTGTTTTGGGTGCTTATCTTGTTGAGTTCTTTATATACCCTAGCAATTACTTCTGTATCTTATGTGTGAGGGGTAAAAATCTGCTCCCAGGATGTAGGCTCCCTGTTCACCTCACAGATTATTTCTTTTGTTGAGGAAAACCTTTTTAGTTTGAATCCATCCCATTTGTTGATTCTTGGTTTTAATTCTTGTGCTATTGGCATCTTATTAAAGAAGTTGGGGCCTAGCCCCACATGATGAAGATTAGGGCCTACTTTTCCCTCCTTTAGACCCAGAGTCTCTGGTTTAATTCCTAGATCCTTGATCCATTTTGAGTTAGCTTTTGTGCATGGTGACAGATGGAAGTTTAATTTCATTKTGTTGCCTATGGATTTCCAGTTTTCCAGGCACCATTTATTAAAGATGCTATCTTTTCTCCAGTGCATGCTTTTGGTAACTTGGTCTAATATAAGATAGTTGTAATTTTGTGGGTTAGTCTCTGTATCCTCTATTCTGTACCATTGGTCTACCAGCCTGTTTTGGTGCCAGTACCATGCTGTTTTTGTTAGTATTGCTCTGTGATGTAGTTTAAGGTCTGGTATAACAATACCACCTGTTTCATTCTTCCTGCTTAGAATTGCTTTAGCTATTCTGGGTCTCTTATATTTCCAGATGAATTTCATGATTGCTTTTTCTATTTCTATGAGGAATGCTATTGGGATTTTGATTAGAATTGCATTAAACCTGTATAGGGCTTTTGGTAGTATGGTCATTTTGATAATATTAATTCTGCCTATCCATGAGCAAGGTAGATCTTTCCATCTTCTAAGGTCTTCTTTGATTTCTCTCTTTAGGGTTCTAAAGTTTTCATTGTATAGATCTTTCACYTCTTTTGTTAAGTTGATTCCCAAGTATTTTATTTTATTGAGAATATTGTGAATGGGGTAGTTTTCTTCATTTTATTCTCAGGGGTTTTGTCACTGATATACAAAAATGCCTTTGATTTATGGGTGTTGATTTTATATCCTGCCAGTTTGTTGAAGTCATTTACTAGTTCTAGAAGTTTTCTGGTGGAGTTTTTTGGGTCTTATAGGTATAGAATCA